GCCTTGATTTGTATATATTTTAAAAATTAGATTGTGGTTAAAAAAATGTTTTCTGTCGTTCTTTGTAAAACAAAATTGGGTAGACAAATGTGTCATTTTAGCCGTAGTGTTAGTTTTGTGTATCGATTTTTCGGGAAACAGGAGATATGTACAGCGGCGGGTAGAATCATGAATATTGAGGAGGGTCGTATTTATTTGTACATATCCACATATCTTTAGCGGGACATTACGCGGAAGTAGTCGGTATGTTTGTTATTTATTTAGAATAAATAGGTAAAATTGTGTTTGTAGACTAGCTAACGTATCCTCAAAACTAAATAACACTGATTTGTCAATCGACAGAGCAAAAGAGCATCGCGCCGAAAAAGAAGCCTTAGGCCACCATAGACCGCCAAGGAACTCAATAGTAAGGGCCTAAAAATGGTATTTCCCTTGCGGCTATGTAAATTAAAGCCTGATAGAGGCTTGGATGGATCTCTACTGAGATACCCCAAAAGTGGACCTGACGGGCATCCCCCTTTATATCAGGTGTTCTCCGATCGACCGTTTAGTATTTTCCATACAGGACTGAGTATGTCAGTACATTACGGCATTGGAATATTAGAGAAAGGCGTGACGCACGGTGAGGTAAATCTACACTCCGGTTTTCACACATATTAGAAATATTATTTTTAACCGACTTCAAAAAAGGAGGAGGTTCTCAATTCGACGCAATATTTTATATCTCACAACACTCCTCGTGCTACCGCTGTACTCTCTTTTATTAGACTATGCGTAATTCAGTAGTTCCGTGGAAACGTGTGATTGTATATTAGGAGACAAACAGATATACCAAAGTACTTCCGACTTTTATTTTACCCTTTTATGGGAACTAAAAGCTCTGAGGTTAGAAATGACACATTGGAAAGCCTACATAAACATAATGTTAAGCCTAAAAACGGCACATAATCTAAATGTCCGGCTGTACAAAAGAATAGATGTTAAATAAACAGTATTTAAAATTAATCTCGGTGTTTCCTTTGTTCTTCCTCCATTACAGCTACATTGAACTCTAAACGTAATTCTGGGGGTTTTAACAACACTTCGTGGTGATCCACTAGACGAAATTTAGGCCAAGGTTAAGGGTATTTGAAAAACTAGGTTAGGGCCCGGTTTGTCAAGTTACAGAAGTGTCTGCTAAATTAAACAGAAGGTTCTACAGAATCAGGAATTTATTGGAGGCATAGAAATAGAACTGACCACTAAATTAACATATTTTTCTGCTAAAAATAATAAGCGAAATAATCACTGTTACAAGTTTTATGTTTCATGTAACATATAACTAACTCGCTTTACACATTATCATTGTGAAGTACCTGCCTGTACAAAGTACTTAGGTACTGTAATCTACCGCTCCAAGTACCTTAATAATTTATTAATTCCATTTATTAAATAGAATATTGCATTCTTATTAAATTCAAAATCCTTCATTTAATGAAAAATCTTCCAGATAATTAAATCTTATTTACGACACCTAATAAATAATAGCTATAACCACGTCCGTAATATATCCATGTTTCTCTGAGAACCAGCCCAAAGAAAACATATTTCTTTTCACGAAGTAATTATCATTAAAACACTTAACTCGCTTATCTTGCTAGTTTCGATGTTAAGACCGATTTCGACAATATTTTGATACACAAAGCTTTCAAGGCACAAAATAAATAAGCCACCCCCTGCACCCACAGTATTTCCATGAGAACTAAAGACATAGAGACGTCACAAAAGCCATTAAAATTTTAGTATAAGAAGTCAGACCCAAATGAGCTCGGATCCATTCATTTTTAATTATTTGATGGGCATGCATTCAATTTTTATTATTTGATGTGCAAGCATTCATTTATTATTTGTATCCAGTTATATTTCAAGTTCAGTAGTCAGTACCTTTCCTAAAACGCTTTTCCTAAACGACGTCTATCCTACAATACCTCCTATCTCCGAAAGTGTCAACGTCTCGACGCCCAACGTCCTGCCGTCCTACTCCCTACGTCTCGATCGCTGTCACATTCCTCACCATCTAAGTATTTCCTACCATACACTCATTTCGACGCTCAACGTCCCACGCCTTATTTCCGACGCTTGCCGTCCCTAAATATGTCATTCATAATATCACGTCCCGCACCACCTACATAATTCTACCGTATATCTGTCCCAATACAGTACTGTATTAAATACCTTGCCTTCCACCACGACGCTAGGCGCCTCGACGCTCAACGCTGCGGCGTACCTAAATCGACGCCGTCACAACGTTAGATGAAATTAGTACATAATCTAATGTCTGTATTTTCAATGGTGAGTCAAAGGAATTATTTAAGTTCTTTGAGATATCACCGGGGGTTTCGTTTAAGGGCGGCTTGACATTTGCTACAAAATATTATCAATTTAATCAAACCACATGGCCTTCAGGTCATACACCCCCCGAAAGACAGTACATCTGTTTTGGATGGGTGAAATTTTGAGCATTTCAATAGAAATTATAATAATCAATATTAAGAAATATACAAGGTTGTATTAAATAATTTAAATAGTAATTATAATAATCAATATAAAAAATATACAGGGTTGTATTGAGTTATTTCAATAGAAATTATAATAATCAATATTAAAACATATACAGGGTTGTATTAAGTCTTTTCAATAGAAATTATAAAAATCAATATTTTAGAGATATATAGGGATGTGCTATCTTGGATAAATTGTACAAACCAAGATGGTAAAATTTAATAGTAAGTTAACCAACTGGCGAATACGCTGTTCGTTAGCTCAAGGGGGGACACCTATACGCTAAGCAACCCGTTCTAGTAGGTTTGAAACAAAGTATATGTGAAATCAACATAGTAAGGTAATTAACTGGCGAATTGGCGCTGTTCTTTACTTCCGTTGGTCATCAACTCTATACTCATCAAAATATTTACCTAAGAGGGTGCAACCTGTGTATATCTAGAATAGAATCAAATCAAAATCAACTCAATAGTTAACCAACTGGCGAATTGGCGGTGTTCGTTAACTTCGTTGGTCATCAACTTAAATAAGAATATAAACAACACAGTAGTTAATCAACTGGCGAATTGACGCTGTTTATTAACTCCCTTGGTCAGCAACCTAAATAATATACAGTATGGTTCAAATGAAAGGAATAAATTCATTATAATGGAAGTAGTTGGTTTTTCAAAAAAATGCTCGAACAGGTCAATTTTGTTTACTTAAAGCGCAATTTTTTAAATAGAATTCAATTTTTCCCCACTTCCCATTTTTGGGCAGTAACGTCATTGACAATTTTTTTAAATAGTAACCCCAATTTTTTTTTCTTGATTTTGATAGATCTTGCATCTTCCTATTCGGAAACATAATATTTGAAATATCTTACATAACAATTTTTTTTGAATAAAAGTCATTTAAAGATCAGACACATAAATTTTATTTTATTTTGAGAACACAATAAATGAATAAAAGATAATTATTGCTTAATCTAACAAAATAATAATAATAATGAAAAAGAATTTAATGACAATTTCACAAATTCTTTATTATTATTATTATTATTTATTATTATTATTTATTATTATTATTTATTATTATTACTTATTATTATTATTTATTATTATTATTTATTATTATTATTATAATTATTATTATTTTATTATTATTATAGTAACAATTGTAATATACTTTGCTAATTATTGCATCACATTTAAAGTATGAAAAATAAAAAGAGTTTAAATATGAATTTGTATGTTTTATTTATCAATTTGCACCAAACTTTGCATCGAATCCTGGTTTACCTTAATTAACATTATCACAATGTGGGTATATAAATTATCAATTAATTAACTAGACGATCACTTTTACTACTAGAGGAAAAAGGCCAAATACAGTAAGTATAGAATTTAATATAAAGTAAAGCTTATGAGGAAAATAATAACATTTCAGAGAGTAAAATAAGGAATAAAATTAAAATAAAGAGGGGCGGGGGGTGGGCCGTCACAGTACTCAGTATTTAAATTACACCTACATAAGAAAATAGATAGTTTCTAACTTTATTGTCCCATGTATAAAAACTTGTCACTAATAATGAAAAATGATGTATACTGATATATTTTGTAGGCAACCATCCTACTATGAGGTTGGTGCAGGTATTCTTAATGCATAATATATACACCCTTCACAGGTTATTTATTTAATTTGAATATAAAATGAAAAATGACTTTGTTACAATACAGGGTAAAAAAAAGCCTACATTGTATATATCATAAACTTAAGATGGTATCAGAAAAGTAAAACCTAATAAAAACAATTTATTTTGTATTCCTGGGCTATAAATATTTAATTCAGGTAAATATGCCATCTTCTTCTTAACTAGGTTTCCAATTAAGTACTATTCAACCACCCTGTATAGGGTATAACATATATATCTGAAAATAAGTTTTACTAGCTTTACAAGCAGGTGTTTGCTATGTTTTTCAGGCAGTTGTTAGGGGGTCAGTTTTGTATTTTGTCATTTAAATTCCCCTTTCATATCCTAGAAACGGTTAACGGTTGTAGGTAAGTATTTTCTGATATCCTCTTTAGTTCATGAAATATCCATTGTAAGTTTTTAAAATGTCACCCCCTACTCAATCTTCAAGTTTAAATGTTTGTATTTATTTTTAACTCTCTTATGTCTACGGAGAATAGATATGGGGGTTCCACAGGGTAGTGTTCTGGGTCTGCTACTGTTTTTAATTTATATTAATGGCATTGCTGGTGTAGTCAAAAGATGCTCAATACACTTATTTGTGAATGACACCCAGATATATTTTAATCATGAAAACACCGAAACTTGTTTTAAAGAAATTAGTAGTTCTATAAGTAAAATAAATGATTATTGTAATGGAAACTTGTTGAAAATAAATTAAATATTTACTAAACAAGTAGGTAGGTACCTACATACTTAAAATCAACATAAATATCAAGAAACTTACCCCTTGCAAGTGATGAAGTATCCAATTTATAAGTATCTTGCAACCTAGTAAGAGCCACTGCAGCTCCATTCAAATCTTCATTTGTAGGAAACAGTCTTGTTTCCTTATAATAAGTTATATTATTTAAGAAATCAGTACTGACTTGAGTAGACATGAGTTCCTCAACATCGTTCCAATCGGTAGTTAATCTTTTAACCAGAGTATAAGCATTAATTGGATTGGAAATATATGAGTTAACATCTTTGATTGCTTTGTTGTGCTGATTTTGATAAATGTCCACATACTTTCTCAGTAAATGGAGCTTCTGTTCCTCAGCCTTGATATAACTCTGTAGTGTATCAATCAGTAAATTTTCTGTATCTAGCAATTCCTCTAGATCCGCTAGGGCCGTGTAAACTTCACAAGAAACTTTAGGAGAAATTAAAACCAAAAAAGGAACTATCAAATGGCACAAGTGCATACTTAACTCGTAAATAAACTAACAAATAATATCACTAAATAATATTCAGTCTTTTTAGGACAGAAGTATCTTCACGGTACCAGTTCACTACGTACACCAATGCCACTAAATTGAATTGAGTAATTGAATTCATGTAGTCACGGAGTTATAAAACACATGATGTTACATTAACATTACTCCTACTCTCTTTAAAACAGTGATTACATTAACAGATTATATGTTTCGGTGTTCTCTTTGCGCACTCATCGCAACTCACAACAATCGTTTTAAAAATAAATTATCAAATAAACAAATAAACACAGAACACAGAACATAGACTATCGAGATCACTATCGAGATCGAGTCATAAGTAGATTTTCTAGAAAAATCGTGTTAGGCAATCAGCATCACAATTTGTCATTACAAAATGATTTCAAATCAGTTCAAAAAACTTTATAATTGAAAATTCGATTTTTTTTAATGAAATTAGCACGTAATTAATGAAAAAAAAAAAAAACTAGTTTTTACTGATAATAATTATATCCCAGTTGTACCAATATTATATTTTTTCATTTAAAACCACAGTTGCCATCTAGTGGTAAAATAGTAAACAAAACCTAAACCAATAAAGTATTTAGATATAGATTGCTCATTCATATGTAAATAAGACTACGAAATCCGGACTGAACAGAACCGTTTTGGCCCATGTGTTTTAAAATAAAATTTAAGCAATTCAAGTTATTAAAAATTACCTTAATATTTACTTGAAGACACGATATTATATTAGGTATTTTGAAAATATATTTTTTTATTTTAAAGTTTTAAAGTATAGTCCAATAATATTAAGAGATCTAAACAATTTTTATAACAGAGAGAGATGTAAACAATTTTAGACCATTCTCGTTTCAGAAATAACATTATATATGTATGAAACACATATATAATTGCAATATGTTATACAACCGAAAAGTTATGTTAACAATTTTGATATGAGATATAAACAACTATGGTAAGAGATGCATCCACACTATATTGGACACTTATTTAACCTTCAAACAAGGAGGAGGTTCTCAATTCATCGTAATATATTTTTTTATGTATGTTCAGCGATAATTCTTTAACACGGTGTCCGATTTTAATGATTCTTTTTTGTTAGAAAGGGGATACTTCGATCAAGGGGTAGTCCCATATTAATTCGGTCAAACTATAATAATTGGGCCCATTAGAAAATTCTCAAACTCTTCATTTTTAATGTATGTTTAGCGGTAATTATTTACCACCTTGTCCCATTTCTATGATTCTTTTTTTGTTAGTAAAGAGGTACCTCAGGGGTGGTCCCATATAAATTTGGTAAAGATGTGGTGACGGTATCTGCACGATTCTGAAGTCGATTTTTAAAATTACTTTTAATACATGTTCAAAATCTGAATCCATATTTTTAAATTTGCGAAAACAAGTTTGACATAAACAACAAATTAAAAATCAACGAACTGTTACTTGACAATATCACTGAACTATATAGTTATATAGTTCAGTGGACAATACCCATACAGCACACATAATTTCGGAATTGTTTCAGAAATATTTAAAACGTTTCACACATATAACATTTCAAGCACAAGTTTCTGAATTAATTCTGAAATATTTTAGTTAGATATATCACTGAAAATGTTTCTGAAACATGTTACACAAAAGGATACTAAACGGGTTATGTTGTAAAAGACCAACAATTAATAAAGAATTTCTGATTTTCAAGAAGAGGATGGGATATGTAGTTTTTTTATTTCGTCATATGTCTCTGTCCAGTCACCAGCTAGAAACAAGCCTATTCTAAATAATTATAGATTTGAGTTGTGATATTCGTGCGTTGTGAACTTGTTATATGGGAAGCAGAATAAGTAGAAATTAAGGTGAGAACTACATAAATAATGCTTGCTTAGCTGGCTTCAGGTTTTGTTTAGACTTGAGTATTGTTTATTATAGTTAATTTAAAACATTATTAATAAAACTATTATTAATCAAATAATTTGTATAAATCCTTTTTAATTACTTATATTAAAGGAATTGGTGGAAATGAAGCAATTTGACAGCGTTCCAGTAAAACTAACATCCAAGTTATTCAACGTTTTCAGAATAAAAAATTAAGGAACACCTTCGATGCATCCTGGTACTACCGTAATACTGATCTTCATAGGGACCTTTAAGTAAAGACTGTTAAAAATAGAATATAAAAATTTGCCAGTAGTCACCAACAATGACTGCTCCAACATGGAAACCTTGGGATTATCCAGCTTCTCAACAATGCCAATCTAATAAGACTAAGAGAACCAGGCCTTTTGAGTTAGTTCTGTGATGTTAGGTTAAAACAAAGTATAGTGCGGTTAAGTGTTATACGCTAACGGTAGTGTAACTAAATAAGTAGACTCTAAAGTACACTATAGGTATAGTGAGTAGAATCTTATAGCGTCTTCGAATTTAGTGCACGGCTTGCACTGAGTGCATACGAAAGGTGGGAGATATGCCAATACCAGTTACTTTTCAATCTGAAATGTAACCCGTATCGATATATCGCTCATCTTTTATATGCACTTCACACAAGTAGGGCAGTGGAATCGAAGCGCTATTAGTTTATGAAGTTTTTCGTCCCTAGATTTAGGTAAAAATAAAATTGCTAAATTATCTTAATGATTAGGGGTGAGATTACAGAACGTCTGCAACTTTGCAGATCTGCAAATATGGCGGCAACTTTGAAAATCTGCAAATATGACTGACTTACACATGCAAGTATCAAGTTTTCGTATTCCTAATTTGGGTTTAGTGTTGTTGGGGGTAATAAACCACAATAAATATTGCGAATTTGCAGATATTTTTTGGAATACTTACATTTTTTAAGTCCGCCATATTTGCAAAGTTGCAGATGCAAAGTTGCAGACGTTCTGTAATCTCACCCTATGTTATAATAATCATTAATGTTTCTTTACTTGGAGCATTTATTAAAAAAAAAACTAGTTGTTTCAAATTAGTGCATTTAAAGGAATTGGTGGAAATGAAGCAATTCGCTTCTATATTTTATGAAATATTCTTTGTTTGTTTATTTAAGAATAAATGTTTGAGTTTTGTGTATTTTAAATAAACATGTATATTTTTACGTCTTTTTTTAGTTTAATAATATATTAGAAAAAAAAACTAGAATATATTTCTGAAATATTACTATTTAATATCTCTAAAAGATTTCAAATTTTCATTTCAGAAATATTACTGTGGGATATTATATTTACATGACATTTTTACGTTTCAGGCATATTTCAGGAACGTGTCTGGGATGTTTCGTAATATTTATACAACATTGCAAATGTTTCAATGTAACATTGTTGAAATATTTCCGAAATGTGTTTGTGCTGTATGGGTAAATCGGAACGTTGTTACCATAGTAACGAAATTAATTCAGACTGTATTATTAAACATAGCGATCGGAAAATTAAAACTAGGGACCAGTAAAGCTTTTACCGGTCTCTATTATTAACGTCTTTCCGGTCTTGATCGGCAAACCGTTACTTCCTGGACGAAAAATTGTTCAGACAGTGTATACTTTCTGGTCGGCCTTAAAAAATTATATTTACTTTTTTTAAAATGTACATTTAACAATATCAACTGTGCTACGCTTCACTCGCCAAGAGGCCCTATGTGGAAAGTCCTTACTCCTTAGAAATGAAAGCAAATAATTCACTTTATTGGATGAAAGTCATGAACATCTGTATCTGTAAAAATCTGAAAGTCAAGAAAACAATAATGATTCTAATTTCTAAGCTGGTTCTGTAAATGATTTTATTATTCTATAGCAGAGGCAGAAGTTGGAAGGGCTCTTGGTAGGTAGAGAGGTCAAACCACGTCGGACGACTTCGAAAATTTCGCAGTAATGTTTACCTGCCAATGTCGTTTCATAGAATAAGCAATTTTAAATTGTTACCGGCGGAACTGGACAATCGCATGTATTTATGGACTATAAATAATTATTAAACATGTATTATATAATATCCAAATCATAATTCTACAAAATTTCAACAGCTATTCACAATTTATTAAACTATTTACTCGAAATTGTTATTAACATCTAAAAAATTATTTTGTACGCCAATGCATCGCGTCACTTCGGTTAGATCCGCCGCAAACCCGTCAAGTTATGTGTATGAAGTGGGAGAACTAGCAAAAGCCTTTCCAACTTCTGCCCTTGCTATATACCTAAAACATGGTACTCAAAATTGAGACCAATATATAGAAACATTACATATATTTGATAAAGAGAAAACTTCGCACAATGAAACTTTTTTTTCGTTTGATTTTCATATGGATGATCAATCTATATTAATATAACTACCAATCCAGTTCATTGATAACTACATATCATTGAACTAAACACGTGGAGGACCAATGTGTCAAAAATTGTCAACAAAAATAATAAATAAATATAAAATTTAAATTTACAAAGAAAAAGAAGAAGAAGAAGAGAGGAGTGCTGCTGAGCTCGTGTGGAATTATTTTGAAAATTATTTCATGAATAATATTTATCTATTCTAGGATACAACTAAAAGACAAATAAATACAAATAATAAATAGGATAAAATGTTAAGAAATATTAGAACAGTTGCATTTTATGATTTATGCTTACAAGAATCATTATTTGTTGAAGAAGACATGGAAAAATCTCTGAAAAATATATATGATTGTAAGATTATTTAATTATTAATTACTTACTTTAATAACCATTTGTTACTGCAGTGGGATATAGAACAATAGCTGTAAATCAGACAGTAGAGGATGGTATCATTGAACCGAGAAAGAAAAAGAAAAAAGGAGAACCAAGGGAAACCCAAGAAGTAGTTCCTGTACCCTATGACTTGTCCAGTGTTAAAGAAATTGCGAAAAAACTTAAGTTTCAAGATTTTCAAGTATTCAATAGACTGACAATAGTATTCTCTAATCAAGAGTCCCTTCACAAAATTGTAAGTAATCTTTAAAATAATTGTCCTATCAAAAATGTTGCTTTTATATTTTAAGGTAAAGTAATAACACACTATTAATATAACAAAGCTACATTACAATTGAAGACATAAGTGGATAAAGGTGTCATGTCACATTTTTTCAAAAAATGATTTTTATGGCCCAATATACTTAAAATATATACTATATTTTTTGTTTGTAAAATTTCTGGTTTTCAATTTTGATAAATAACGGCTCTTCATCAGTTATAAAGTTATCATGAGCCATATATCATAATGCAGTTGTAAAACTTTAAACTTGTTTCTCTCGAAATAATCTTTTTGTGACATGACACCTTTATCCACTCATGTC